CAAGGCTTAAAATATATACATAAATGCAGTGTTACTTACTCATTTCTGGCTCAGCAGAAAGATCGGCTGTTACAAAATTAGATGGAAATAATCCTATACCCTGATGGGTTTCCCCTTTCCACCAATTTGGATCGCTAAAGTTAAAAAAAATAAAAACCGCCATACATTACAAAATCCATACTCACATGGAATTTTCCTAAAATGGCTTAAAATATATACATAAATGCAGTGTTACTTACTCATTTCTGGCTCAGCAGAAAGATCGGCTGTTACAAAATTAGATGGAAATAATCCTATACCCTGATGGGTTTCCCCTTTCCACCAATTTGGATCGCTAAAGTTAAAAAAAATAAAAACCGCCATACATTACAAAATCCATACTCACATGGAATTTTCCTAAAATGCCTTGTACAGTGCCATTCTATATTACTTGTACATAAATAAGATTTGTATGTTGTAAATATTTTTACGCAATTACATTTCTATGTAAAATTCTAGGAGATAACTAAATAAGGTATTTAAAATAATAAATTTATTTTATTGCAACTGTATTCCAATGTACATTTATGCACAGAAGATACAATTATTCTCAATTGACTTTTACAGTCCAGTATACTTCTAGTAGGCATTCCATATAAATTACCTGTCATCAAGGATAGTTATAAGTTCTCCAGCTTTAAAAGTTAATTCGTTGTCTTCAGCAGCCTCAAAATCATAGATTGCACGAACCTTTCGGCCTTCGTGTTTGTGATTTGTTAAAAGGCTTGAGGTGCTCGGATACAAACTGGAAAGTGTTGTTTGCTGTTGCCTTTGTTCTTTTAGTGAGAGTTCAATAGCTACAAAAGAAGAGTTACTCAGGTGAAACCTCCTGATAAAAATGGGTTGAATGATATGAAAATTTAACTCTGAAAACTTTTAGTATAATTCCGTCCCTGCTGCATCATAATGAACTTCTGCCGTTCACTTCGAAATAATGGTAAAACCCACAAAGATGTTTTCCAACTAGACAGCACAATTCTGCCCATAGATTTACTGAGGCTTCCAACATGGGCAGGATGAATAGACAGCACTTAAAGACAAATGGGATAACCCAGTGAAGTCATCCACTTTTTATTATTATATTACTGTTATTATCTTGAACTGATGTAATGTATTTACATTCTTACTAACATATACATGACATTCAACTTTTCTAGACTGCTTGAAAAATTAAAAGATACAGCTGTTCAGGTGCAACAGTAACTCAAAAGAAATCATCCTAGTTTTGTTTACTGGGACTGCAATGAGACACGTATGATTGCAACAATCAAAGCCTTAATGTATACTACAGAAGCATTATTCAAAGATTAAAAGTTTAAAGTAATACCAAGTTACACCTAAAATACCGGATTCAACTTTCCATACAACTTCCAGGATAATCCTTATTTTCTTGTTCCATCAAATGTTTAAATTGCAAACAAATTCGCTGCACTTGCCCCAGGAAGAGAGAAAATGCAAGTGCAGAACTTGTATCAAGCATTTCCATAGTGGAGCATGTCCTCAACATGAGATTTTGCATAATTTTTACTGTGTTGTTCCAGTTTGGCAACAGAAAAAAAGTAAAAACCAGAAGCTTTTAATGTATTTTCAATCTTTAATCCTCCACCAAAAGAAAGGAATAGAAATCATAACTACAATCCATAAATACACTATTCACACAGAGGAAGGAAGCAAAACATTTGTCCCTGCTTTATTTGATATTTACTAATATATTCATCAGGTCAGCAAGTAAGTGAACTCACCTTTAGCTAAATCCTCCTCTTCCTTTTTGTTGGCTACTGTACCAGGATCTTTGGCAACTAGAGCTGGACTTGCTTTTGCCTGTTCAGCAGCCTAGCCAGAAGTGAAAGATGTCAAAATGAATTCAGCAATAAGAAATTACAATATATTAAGTTCACCGTTTTGATTTGTATTCATCTGCAGTATAAAAATCTGAAGTAAATCAGAGCATCTCATGCCCCAAAGGAATGTTTTATTAAGAAATGACAAAATAGAACTCAACTAAAAACTGTAAAATACAGAACTGAAGAGAAAAAAAATTTGTGACACCCTTTAAGAACAACCTCAAAATTTAATATACCTGTGAACCTATAGCTGGGAAAGTAACTCCTTGCTCCTTAAGATTTTTTATCATAGCAGATATTAAACTAAGCTGTGGGTCATTCTTGAATTCATCAGTCCATTCCACCATAAGGGCTTTCAGCTTTTCACAAACTTTTGGATGACCCTGCAAGCACAGTAGAAACTAGTTAAATACTGTAGGAACCTGTTCTTAATTCCTTCATTTTAAATAATTTCCTGTTACTGTGAATATAAACTATATAGACACTTTATTTTGAGGACAAGTGTATCACTAGGGGATATCTTTATCAGAAAGGAGCACACCAGCACTGTTTGTACTAGTACAATACGTACTAGTCCCAAAACAGAGTAAACCAAGGTTAAATAAAAGCCCTGCATTATCAATGTTTTGCCACATCTGTATTTAATGTTTCATGGCTATTATGTAACATAAAAATTAATTTTTATATTAATGAATTAACACACCATACCCCACCTCCCCTGAACAGGGTACCTAACTAACTGAGGTGCGAAGTGGCATTCCAGAAGCTCTCTCTCAGTCTTCCCAGTAATCTTGCATCTTTTCCCCCACCACCAAATTTGCAGTCTTCCAAAAGTAGATTCCATTCCACTTCCAGATTACCCCAATTCTCCGATTTCGCTTTGCTATGAATTGTATAAATCAATGCAATACATTACCTTATTCAACACATTGCTTACTTCACTGGCAAAATCTCTTGAACAGACTTCTAAATGAAAGATTTTACCACAGTTTGAGACACATGCTCCTAGAAGCTAAAGAAAGAAAGATTACAACTCAGAGAGGATTTTATGCAATGTAACTTTTCAGGAATGAAAAGCGCTACATTAAAAAGAACCTACTGTTAATGCTTGCATAGCAACGTGGGGATCTTTATGGTTCACTCGCTTCATAATAGAACGGAGACAGTCCTTAGGCCTAAAAACACAAGACATGTAAAAATATGCAATGGAATGAACATTTCCTATTGCTCACAGGACAACACCCACGGACAACAAGCTCTTCCAACCACAATCAGTAAATTATTTAGTAGCTTCTGAGTGCAACATTACAAACTATAAATTAACACCGTTATCAGCTGTAGCCATTTCTATGGGTAAGACTGCTAGCTTCCCATTATCAAAACCTCTCAGTAAGTTACATTATGTTTTCTAGTTAGTGAGAATTACTGTAAATACTCCAAAAACACATAAACCCCTTACAATTAGAGAACTGTAATTCTCTGTAGGCCATGCATCTACTCCTGTGTAGTCTGCATACCTACCTAAGAACATTTGCTTACACACTGGTTACCAACACCCTTTTGCTACTTCTTTAGAATTACCACCACCACCTTCCTCAGAGTCTCTCTTAATCTACAGAATAACATCTATAAAAAGATACTCAATAACCAACAAGTGCTAAAAAAAAAAATGTTAGACATTCTACATCAAAGTTTCAAAACAATTCAGTAGAGAATTCAAGTGTTACCAATGTTGTGGTAGGCAGAAATAATGTGAAAAGGAAATTTAAGAAAGAATTTGAATGGGAGTTTCAGACCCAGTTTAGCACATTAGAATCTGTGTGACACTCATTTTTTTCTGTCTTTAAAGGTGGTGGAAGGCAGAGCAAGAATGGGGTAGGAATTAGCAGGGGCGCACAAGCACTACCTGCTGAATAGCCCTGAAAAGATAACTCTGAAAGAGGGTAAGAAGGAAAAGAGAAAGTAAATTTAAACTAAGAGATTTTATGCATTCCTGGAGTATTTATAGTAATTTTTCTTCAGAAGCAAAAATTATTTTACTCTTGAACTGATATCCAATAATTAACATGAAACGTAGGTGTAAGTTACACCATTGCTTGGCTATACTATATCTGGCAGAGTTTACATTTTACAGAAATGTCCACTTCACATTTAGTAGTACTAATTATAGAAAATGCTGCCACACAGCACGACTACGTATCACTCAGTGTACACCTCTGAATAACCAACTGCTACAAATGAAGGCTGTAAGGCAAGAACTGCCTGTTATCTATTAATTATCTAAGACATCTCATATGTTCACTTTCCTTGAGAAAGAATACATGCTAAAGTTTTCTGAAATAAATGCTTTTTTTAAACCATTTATTTATGAATAGGACTATCAATGTGATATGAGCACAAACAAAAAAGTACATGTCCACTAATTGTTAAGCCAGTATCTGTAACGGTAGGATGCAGGATCAAGAGCTGAGCAGTTCAGGAATAGGACCATTAGCCTGATTTTTTTTTTTATTAAGGAATCCAAAGTCTCATTAAAACGTAATAAAGTAACAAGGAAACATCAAAACCAAATGATCTTCCACGTGTCAAGTACAACTTTGAAAACAAAAAAAATAAAGAAACCCCTCAGTAATTCATAAAAACACCTTTAAAAAAATTATTTCTTCATATATTAACAGAAGCAATCAATATTTGAGTGTTTATGTTTTAACATACATAAAAAGTATTTTTTAAAAAAATCTTTTGATTACATCTACACCAACAAAAAAATAATCCAGGCTTACCAGTGTTTAGCCACACAGACTGGGAATCCCTATTCTAGACTGAAGTACAAATAAGGATTATAGTTCTAACTAATTCATCATACAATTTAGTTTGTAAATTATGAGAAGAAATAAGCAGAAATCGGAGGGAAGGCGATCACCCCACAAATTCTATTTATTAGGCATCTCTCCACACCATTCTATACAAATATTGGGCCGCAATTCTGCTCCAATGACACTACAATCAAAATTTCAGAGGCAGCACATGAGTGGGAGTAACAAATCAGTAGGGCAAAAATAGGGAAGATACAATAGAAACTATAGTATTATATAGTAATATATCCAGAAAAACATTCACAACATATTCAGTTTTGGTTTTATAAAGAGTAGTGTATTTGATTATATTTTATTTAACAAAGACAAACTTAACAGCAATTGGAATCTAAAATACTACTCTGCACAAAACATTTAATATATTTTCAGGAATTTACTGTTCATTCACAGTCTAAGACTGGGGATCAAGACTTCACAGGTGACTCAATTTTTTTTCTTGCTATAGTCAAAGAGCTTCCTGCTCAGCCTGTTAAACATACACTGCAATGACTATATAAAACCCTACTGAGACTGGGGAGCTTGAGAGGAAAACACACCCACAGAAGTTAGTTTGGAAGTATCAAGTAAGCAGTTTTACTGTTCTCTCTTGTATGAGCAGGCACAATAACATCCAAAGAAGAATCAACTAGCCAAAATACTGACTAAAGGAGGCAGTGATTAATCCATAAGGAATCAGGACAAAGTTAGGCAAGTAGTAATACAGACAAACCATTTATCAATGACAATATTTTAATACCCACCCCCACCAGAGAGTGCTGCAATGAACATTTCTATTTCCTCAACCACTGGTGTCTTCTCCCAGTCACTGACTTAGTTTTTATTAAGTAACTTTTCTGGAGAAAACCTGAAGTTGTGATAGTTTCAGACATAAAGACTGATATGTCTCATTAAGTTAATGTAAAAAGGTACAACCATTTCAATGCCAAATGCAAACAGGTAAGACTTAGGAACTGGCTAGCACTAAACTGACTGGGGCGGGGGAGGATGATGTGCTTCACACCAAAAAAATATAACAAATGTGGCCTTTAATATTCTCTTTTATTCTGTTTAATGAATCATTCAAATTCTATAGTGTTTACTTAGAGCTGATAAACTACTGATTCTGTTATGTAAGCATTTTCATTACAGAAAAACAGCACTGCAAAAATCTATACCTTTCCTGTAGTCAGACGATTAAAATACCAGTCAACTATGATAAAAGTTGTTAAACAAGTTTGCTATACTGCTATATAAAATCAGAAAAATAAGACTGCCTGTAATGGTAAACCCCTTGTTTTAATCATGTTTCCATGATGAAAAGGCAGATTGCTCACTGAAATACCAATATTCCCAAAAAATGGGATGCAAACAATATCATATGCAACTGCTAAGCTGTATGAGTTCCTAAAGCAAATTCAGAGATTAAAAAAAAATGTACTGATTGTCTCAGTTAGACAAATTTTAGACCATCTGAAGAACCTGCTATGCGAAACATGCAGAAAGTATCAAGTTAATTCCACACGATGTATGGCAATACTTTATACTTGATTTTAAGTAAGGCTTATTATTCAAAATATTACTGAATTTGCTATCCTTCCAGTGTTTTCTATGAAAATTCTGTCATCAACTCTAATCAATCAGATTTCAAAATTCACAAAAAAAAAAAATAGAGAAAATGCTCAAGGACAGCGATCAGTGAATTCTAACTTGCTAAAACCTGGTTATTTGGTCAGATTAAGGGAAGAAATAAAACATCTCTAGCTGCTGGCAATTTTTAGTAGGCAAGGTATTGGAATGTAAAAGTTAACAGTAGCTATTCTGTTCCTGAAACATAACTAATTTATCTTAAGAGATAATTACTATGGGTGCAAACAAGTTGTTGGCAAACCTAAATGAGACAATGGGCTTTGTAACTCTATGCAAAAAGAAGTGCCACTAAGTGAGGAATAGTCCTTCTAGTCTACTGTGGCTTCAGGTGTAAAACGATCTATATCTAAAATGCTGCAGGCATGCAACGAAGCTTACAGACTGCTACAAAGAAAACCCGTAAAGCAGAGATTATAAAATCTAAACTTCTGCAAAGGAGAGTAACAGACAGCTTGTACTGGACCAGAATTAGTTAAAAAATTAAAGTTGATCCCAGTTAAGACAACTAGCATCCTCAACACAGGAAGGAACATAAGCTACAGAATTTCAAATAGTGTAGCGTATCTGATTGAAACTTCTAACTTTGTCTTGCTTTACCTTGCTATGGCATGATGTAATCCATCAAAACAAAGAAAACCCACTATCAGCAAGTTTTAACAGAAGTTGATTTTAATCAAGGAGTCAGCTGGCAGCATACTGCAAGCAGGGTAAGGAAGTATTACAAAGGTTAAAGTCACAGTCATGATAAAACTACTGTTTCATTTTTTAAAACAAACAAACCAACCTCACCACACCAAAACAAAACACAAAAGAAACCCACAAACAAACAAAAGCCACAAATAACAGACATTCCAGCTGTCCCAGAAAAATTTAGCTGCACATTATCAGAAGATCTCTAGCTCTGTCTGTACTTCCAAGCAGCTGTCTCTTGCAGCTACATACTTTTGAGCACTGTTCAGGCTAAGTTGCTGTGAGACTAAATCTAGCCTACAGAAATGCTTTCAGTGATTAAATACTGAAGCCTTCAATACTATAGTTATTGTTACAGGCTCAGCATCAACATGAGCAAGGAGCAGAAGTTTTACATACACAGTCTACTATGAAACATGATTACCAACTGGCCAGCTGCTCCCTTAACTACAGTTACACACAACACCACAGAAGTCTCAGTATGCCACGCTATTTGTAAGTACTCCTCTAGAGAACACCTCTAATCCCAAGGAATAAGCTTATTTGCAAACCTGTCCTTTGGAACAGAAGACCCAGGTAGGAATCTGCTGTCTGGCATCTCACACTATTTCCTGCCATCTTACAAGGCAACCCATGTCATTCTCAGAGAAGCCTTTTGCTAAACAGCAGCAATGACATCAATCTTCTTTTTGAGGCTATTCCTTACCTGAAGTGTTACAGGGAAAGCTTGGAGAAAATGTATTTTAAACATTTCTAAAGCCTAACACTACCATGAATAAAACCACTATACATACACTGAAATAATGTCTTTAAACTGCATTTTGTATTTGCTGACACAAATTATGCTTTAACTTTTCACATCCAAAAAACAAGTGCATACATATAGCCTATGAGAGAGTTCAGTAAACAATCAATAATGAAAGCATCAGTGGCTCATATTAAAATGTGATTAATTTAATACTCCATTTTCAAAATGTACGTTA